AGTTGGCCGGACTGAAGGCTTTTTTATTCAACTTCTCAGTCCTTGCTTCACTAGTTAAAAAAAAAAAAAAAAAAAAACAAAAACAAAGAGTGTATCTTAGTCTCCTTTCTTCTCTGGAAAAAAAATGGCATTATTGGAGCAGTTATCTGGAAAGGGATTTCAATTTTGACCTCAGTTAAGATGTATGTCACTAGGTATATTAGCATCCTTCATTCCTGGTATTAGATTTGTGACCTCTCCTTGTCTTAGCTTGGCCTGTCATGTAAGTGGAAGGGACATTCTGCCTGTGGTTTGATTTTGATGTTTGTTTAATTCCTCTCTTCAGACTTTGCAGTAGCTAGTTCTGATGCCTCTATGGTAGCTACATTCTTTGAGGAAAAGACATCAGTGCCTTATGCAGGTATCTTCTGAATTAAGGTAGTTCTGTCTGAAAATAACTTTTCCTCTGGCTGGTGTGATAAACAGTAGGGAGAAAAAGTCTTCCAGGTTCAGTGGAAGTAGTATATTTGGATATTTGGATATCTTTTTCTTGTACAGCTGGTATCTACTTTCATGCCTTTTTGTTCTTGCATGCTTCAGTGAAAGTAGGGATCATGAGCAATCAGAAATACCCCAAGCAGTTGTTTTAGCTTTCCACTTATCTTACAAGCCTCTACTGCTGAGAGCAAACTACTCTATTCATGCTGTGAAACCAGTTTGTATCATGTATATCCTGAGTTAGTGTGTTTGCAGTTAGCTGGGTAAGCAGCAGTAGCTCCAGCAGTGACTTAAAACAGCAAGAGAGTGCTCTTTTCCTAAGGACTGAGAATACAGTTTAATCTACCTGGAGTGGAGAGCCCATCCTGGTGCCAGCTGCATTTAGCTGTGTTTTAGGAAGTTGGAGAAACTACTCAAGAACATATGTGCTGATATCTTAACCACCTTCATACTGTTAACCTTTGTTAGGGGGAAAGATAAGTCTTATAAATGCATGAAAATTAATTTTTAATGCCAAGATATTAAATCCATTACTCAGTCATATAACTTTCATAACAGTCTTTGTGCTCCAAGGCTCTTCTTCAGACTTGAATCTTGTAAATTCTTGTGCACTGGAGCTGTGCCCCTGTTCATTTTGTGGTTCAGTGGAAAGAAGGCTGGGAAAGAATATGCTGTGGATGGCACAAAGCAGTGGCAAGAATAAAGGATTAAGTGCAATATATTGACTGTAGGGATGTATGTTCTGACCATCTGGGTCCTATCTGTAGAGCCAATTTTTAGTGGTGGTCCTTTTTTTTTTCCCAAAGAGAAGTGTGGATAGTGATCTGGAGAAATACAGAAGAATGTCTGTCATCAGCTCTGACTCAAAATATTATTGTAGTCTGACTCAGAAAGCAGAAAACATACCTCAAGATAGATCAGAGACATGTTTTGAGTAATAAAAAGCGATGTCCTTACTGTTTCTTTTATCTTCTACAGGTGATTTCGATGACTTCTCCTTATCAGATGCACTTGGTAATTATTACACTCGCAAATTTTGGGAGGTAGGCGGGAAAATAGTAGCTGCTCTTTGACTTGTTTGTTTTCAAGTATCACTGTATGACCAAGCATGACACCTTCCCCTTGTATGGTTTGCTTAAATCTCAGTGGAAAAATTCAGCTATGGATATGTCAAGATGTTGACCACATAAAACTGAAATTTGTCTTTGGAGCACTTAATGATTTCTCTTAAGGGGAAATTGTCTTGCTGTATAGATTTGATCGTGTGCTTTTCATTGTGCATATATATGCTTATATTTGTTCTTCTCTATCTTCTGAACAGTGTATTAAAATAGTATTTAAACTTTTTTCTTTTCCCCTAACCATCCCTGACATCAGGTACAAGGAAGCCTCCTGTGACTCAGAAGACACCATCACCAGATTTAGGTTTAGGTGAGATCTTACTGGCTTGTAATGCCTTTACTGTGAAGTCAAGTATAGTTGTCCATACTAATTTGAAAACCTGAATATTTCAATTTAGTGGCACACAGGCTTGGGATATTTCTGTAAAAGAAAACAGTTTCCTAACAGCAAAAAGATTTCTGCATTTTGGAGTCATCTTCTAGTGCTTTCACAAATGTACTTTGTGATTTCATAAGCTTAAAGACTGTGTGAGAATCCCTTCTGTTTGCTTTCAGTTTGGAGCTTGCTCACCTTGACTGGCCCTTGACAGGTACCATGATGAGCATGTCATTTGGCACATAATGCCTGGTAACTCTTTGGGGCTTCTCTGTGGGCCACTGTTGAATAAGCATACTGTTATATTCTTGGTGAAAGCATTGTGAGGTGAATTTTGTGTAAAAATAGTCTAAACCTAGTTCTGTTTTTGCATTATATTTAAATCTTCCCTTCTTTCTTTGTAGATGATTTTGACTTGGAACATGCTCTTCATCCTGGTAAGTATCATATTTTCCTGGATACTGCTCAAAGATACTTGTGCAATGTCTATCTGTCCTTTATAACCTAAATGTTATAAGGGCACTGAGTTGATTAAGGTAGCAGACTGCAGATAAAAATAATTGCAATCTAGCTATGTTTAGTTACCTTAATTTTTAAGGTTCTGGATCACAAAACCTACAAATTTCAGCAATTTCTTAGCCAAGTCCTATGTGTTTCATTGCTGTGTCTTCACTAGATGGCACTAATTCCATAAAGTATTACTTAAGGAAGTAGTTTTTAAATCTGAAATAGTGTCTCCCTTTAGAAGAAGCAATTTTAGCAGCACAGGAAACATTAGTCTGTTAGAAATAATTTGAGGGAAAGTACCTTTTCTAGTGTGAAGACTATGACCAGACAGTACAGAGATAACTACTAAGATCTCTTATTCTTCTATTTTGTGGCAAGCTAAATAAAGTGCTATTGTGGGATCAGTACTTCTAGTTCTCTTCTGTGTATCTTGTCCTTTTGTTTTTTAAGTGAACTACCAACCTTTATTATTGGTCAAAACCTTGTAGTTTTAAAAGATAAAACAGCCAAGTAATCTGTACCTGATGGAAAAGTTCAGTATTTGAAATCTGATGTGCAAACTAAAATGCTGTATAACATTCAAGGAGTTCTTCAGTTGTAGCAAAGATCTGAGACAGGCTGCTGTGGTTGCGACAGAAACACTGTTAATTGCATTAAAGTACAGTGTTCAGCTAAAATAACCACACAAACACAACATTAGCTAATGAAAGGAAAATGACATGTTTAGGTCAGGTAGTCTTTCAAGTTCACTACTTGCTCTGCTTTTGGTCTCCTTGCGCTAGTAATTTTGCTCACTTCATTCTAACTCTGTTTGCCTACAGATGATCCCAAGCCACATCCTCCTGCAAATCCTAGAGACACTGGTAAGACTGACCTAACAGGAAATTTCCAAACAGTAGTAGACTATTTGTTAATCTCTCCTAGCCCTTTTCAGCATTACTATATTATAGTCCACTTGAGTCCATTTTGGTATCTTAACCTTTTTCTCTTTATTTTTTTCCTAAATCTCCTGTATGTAGATAACCCCAAGCGAAATGAACCTAAAGACACTGGTAAGGCTTCTAGCACAAACTCCTGAATCCTGATACGGTTTTACAGTCTCAGTTATGCTTCTAGCAATTGCTCCTTGTTAATTGGCTGCTGTGTATGTCAGATGTTGCACTGGATAAAGACTGGGAATTGGGGAAAAGTTATCTTGTGAATAAGATTTGGAGCAGTCTTGAAATTCCATAGCAAACCAGGTGAGTCACCTGCACTTAAAAGCAGGATGGTATGAGGAGGAGGTGGGGGGGACAGAGTGTGTGTGCTTAGGGTTGTGCTGCTGTTGGCTGCCTACGGTGGAGCACCTGTGTATTGGCTTGTGTTCTTTCATCTTTACAAACTGACCCCCGTCTAGTCATGCTAAAAAAGTAAGTAGGAACTCCCTATAAAGATAATAATCTTTATTCTTAAAGAATCTAAATTAAAGGTAAAGCTCCAAGTTAAAGGGTTGGGTTTTTTTTAGTTGGTTTGGGTTTGTTGGTTTTTTTTGTTTCTAAAGGCCCTGTTACAAAGTAAAATTTTTTTTATGTTTGAAAGGTAGGCTTAAAATATATGTCCTTCCCTGCCTGTTGTGCTTTAGAGGTCCTCTCTGTCTTTGCCTAAGCCAGAACAAAGCAGATTTAGATGGATGCAGCTGTGATGATGCCATTATCCATGAACATGGTGGTTAAGAGTCCTTACCTGGAATGCAAGCCCTGGTTCTCATTCTTTCTCCTGCCTGATTTGCAGCAGATATTTGAATTTGTGTCTTGCATACCTCGGTACAGTTCTTCTGGCACCCAACTAAAGCATCCTCTGATTCAGTCCTTTTAGTTTTGCTGCTTGAAACATACTTGTTTGCATAAACAAGAGTTTCATTGAGCAGCAGGGGGATGGAGGAGAGGGTCCCATGAGGCAGGGTCCAGTGGAAATGGAGAGGGAGTGATTCAGTGTCCTGCAGTGAGTCAGAGGAGGGAATTACTTTTGGACTGTTTATGACTTAGAAACCCAATTCTGAATTCATTCACAGTTGCAGCCTTGAAAAGAAATGGCCCTTTCCTGTCCATGTCCTTTCTTTGCTTTCACAGGATAATGAGACTTGGGCTATTCCAGTTATTTAGCTTGTAGGTCTACATGCTTGCTTAGCCTGACTTGTGCAGTACTACCTGCTGTTGGACACTGACTTCTCTCAGCTGTTCAGGAAGTCCAGAGCCAGGAGTGCTGCTATCAAACTGTGCAGTGCTGAGCGGAAGGGACTTGACATTGGGAGGACTTTTGAAATGTTGGGACTATGATGCTGAGCCTAAAACCACCACAAATACAAATTCAGCTGAATAATGTAGAGAAAATATCCATGTTATTATGTGCCTTGACGTGTCTTTTCACTGAATGTAAAACATGTCAGGTATTGTTATTTACTTTGGGTTTTTTTATAGGCACGTTTGATGATGCAGATCTGTTTGATGGCAATTTGCCAAAAGGAGGAGGTGATAGTAGTGGCAGCAATGGTAAGATAATGGGTTTATGGCTACCTGAGCTGTTGATAAAACTTGCTCACAGGCTGGTTAACGTGATTTAATTTGTAACACTTCTGGTTTTGGGGTCTGAAACTTAAGTGTATACCTTCCAGTCCAAAAAGTAATGTGTCCTGTCTCTGCCAAAAATACCCCAAAATAATTAAGAGGTAGAACTGGGTTAGAGGTAAAACTTTCGATGATTTTTACTGTTACGCTAAGAAAGATGGCTTTTAAAACCAAGATGTGAATGTGGTACTTCAAAATTCACCATGAATATAATTCTTAAAGTTATCCAGGTGCTATTTTCAAATCTTTCTGTCTCTTTTATTTCTTGTAGTTAGGATGTCTGGGGTTGTGCCAGAAGAGGATCCACCTTGTGTTCTCAAAGATTTCATTTGGCCCACAGGATGGACTGATCCTTACACTTCCTAGAAGTAGGACAAGAGAGCACAGACTCAAGCTCTGCCAAGGGAGGTTTAGGTTGGATATTAGGGAGAGATTTTTTACAGAGAGAGATATCAGGCATTGGAATGTGCTGCCCAGGGAGGTGGTGGAATCACCATCCCTGGAGGTTTTCAAGATGAGACTGGATGTGGCACTTAGTGCCATGATCTGGTAACCACGGTAGGGTTGGACTCGATGATCTTTGAGGTCTCTTCCAACCTGGTTGATTCTATGATTCTATGATTCTAAGTGATCCTTAGACTTCTTTACTGTGAGGGTGGTGAGCCACTGGGACAGGTTGCCCAGAGAAGTTGTGGATGCCTTATACATGAAAAGTTCAAGGCCATATTGGATGAAGCTCTGAGCAACCTGGTCTAGTGGAAGGTGTCCCTGCTCATGGCAGGGAGGTTGGAACTAGATGATCTTTAAGGTCCCTTCCAACTGTATGGTACATCTATTGTACTGTAGGGTACATCTACTCTGAGCAGTATAACAACATTTCATATCTTGACAAACTCTTTTTTTTTAGTAATTTACTGTGTCTAATTGTTACGGCACAGCTCAGTAGAGAGATGATCATTGTCATTGGGACCAAGCTGCAGTAGTAGTCATCCTTAGGATGGGGCTGGTCATTCCTCTGTGAGTTACTGCAGCCTTATGATTTCTGGATCAGTGTTAGCTTAAGCATCTTGCTGGGGTTTGAGACATGCCAGTAGTTACTGACTTTTTCAGAGAGCTGTCCTAGACAGATTACTGAGGAAACTTTTTTGGGTAACTTTTACCTTCCAAGGTTCTTTTGGGACAGTAACTTGAAAATTAGCATGGACAAGAAACATCTGTGGAGACTTGTGTGGTGCTTTCATCTGTCCAAGTTCCTGCCTCAGTGGTATGAGTTGCATAGTGACCAATAAAATTAGTGTTTATAGACCTTCTGTCTTGCTTGTGAAGAGAATTGCAAAGGTATTTAGTAAATGAGGCTGGGATTTTAGGATAAGATAGTTGGTTCCATGGAAATACAGTTGAATGTTCTTCTGAAATTCTATGCTGTTCCTCTTCCCTGAGTGTTCTGTGGTGATGTGCAAGTTGTTGAAACCAGATTTTACAGGTGTTCTGTGCTAAATTTATGGAAGTGTTGAGCACCCAAGGCTGGACTTGGCACCACGTTGAGCTGTGCTTTGAAAACAAAGTTTGAGTGCCAGAGCTTGGCACTGTATGTATATAATAGATGGCTTGTAATTTTGCATAATTAGTTGATAAAAGGGTTGTCAGTTATGACTGTTCTTTACACATACGAAATGTAAACTTTCTGTTCATTTTCACAGATCGAAAGGGCCCAGCTCCAAACGATGGACAAGCAGAGGAGGGTAAATGCTTGAATTTGTGTGTATGATGGTGTCTGCATGTCTGAAGTTTGTTTTCTGTGGGGTTCTGTGTTGCTGATCTGCTGCTAGAATAGTCACCCCTGGGAGTGGGTTACAACTTAAAGGCTTTTGTGGATCTGGAATTCTTACTCTCAAGCTCTGCTTTCCTAGCCTTTAAAATCTCTATGTTGCAAACTGTTGAAAAGTGTTAATGTCTCAGAGATGCTAGTGCATGATTGCATGTTTGTGGTGTAGATTTGGCTAAGAAAGGGTAGCTTTGCTAGCTAGTGGAACTTAAAACAGGCATGCTTAAGTTCCTTAACAGGCATTGCTAAGAAATCAGTGGCTCTAAAATGAGAGGATTCACTTTTCATTATACACAAAAGTGGAAGGTGTTGATTATTACAGTTTCGTGTATTTTCAGCTTATTGGTTTTTGGAAGCATTCACAGGGTTTACTTTGAGACAATACAAGTTTGACATGGCTTTCAATTCTGAAAAATCTATACAAACCTTTGTGCTTTTTCCAGCTTCTCCGGGAGCACTAGCTGGAATTGTAGGTGCTGTGGCTGCTACTGTAATTGGAGCAGTATCTAGTTTCATTGCTTACCAGAAGAAGAAGCTCTGCTTCAAACAAAGCGGTAAGAATTCTAAATTAGTTTGTTTTCTCCTGTCTAAAGAGATGCATTTTTGTATTTATATAGGGACTATAAATTGATCCTATGTATAAGGTAGTTCTAAGAGCACAGTGCATTTATGCTCACAGGGAATAACCTTTGTTAGTAGTCACCTAAGGCAGCATGACTGAAGAATGCCTTGCCCCAAAACTAGACTTTCAGAAGTAGAGGACTTAAGGCTTTGCATTTCTTAAAATAAAAGCACTTCTTGCTAAAAAGTAAGCAGGAGGGACTGCAGGAAAATACTTCTAAGCAAAGTCTAGTGGAGGTTGGGGATAAGAGACCACTTTCATACTGAAAAATACTTTGTCATTTCTAATTTGGTAAATCTTGCCTTTCTGTCTGCACAAGATTCCTGCCTACTTAGTAGTTCTATGACCACTACCCCAGTGTTAATCCCCAAATTATGCTTCTGCAGTCACCTATTGCTTGCTATCTGCTTCCTTTCCACCTAAATAAGAGCTAACTTGGATCAGAGAACTTTGGGAGTACTGTGGGTGGTAGGAGGGGCAGAAGCTTTGGTTTTGTCATTTTCAGTCTTTCAGACTGTTTGGTGAAGGGAGATGATAGAGCAGTCATCCAGCCAGCACTGCTCTTTTGTAGTTCGAGAAGTTTGGAAACTGAGTAACATCTCTACCATGCACGTCAACATTAATGTGCAGGCAAAACAAGGATGACTCAACTACTATCAGTAGCCCAGTTTCTTCAGTGCTGTTTCTTCTCTCAAATTATCTCTATTAATCAACAACTTTGAATCTAAGAGAATTTGCATGCTAAACATGTTTGTTTCCCAGCAGATGAAGAGAATGTGAATATGGATAGCCATCGGGGAGCACAATCTGAGCCACCTGGTAAGAGAAGAATCTAGATGGAAGATCAGCTCATTGGTGGGGATCCTATTAAATGCACTTTATTGGCATCTAACATAGTGGAGAAAATTGCTGTTTTGTTAAAAAAATAAATAAATTTGTAGCTATTAGTAGGTTTTGGCAGAACATGAGCTGTCAGTGTGTTCAGGTGGCCGAGAAGGCCAGTGGCATCCTGGCTTGTATCAGAAATAGCATGGCCAGCAGTGCTAGGGAAGGGATTGCCCCTCTGTACTGGGTAGGACTAGGGCAGTGATCATCCCTCTGGCACTGGTGAGGCTGCATCTCAAATCCTGTTGTTCAGTTTTGGCCCCCTCACTACAAGAAAGACATTGAGGTGCTGAAGGGTGTCCAGAGAAGAGCAGCGAAGCTGGTGAAGGGTCTGGAGCACAAGTCTGAAGAGGAGAGGCTGAGGGAGCTGGGGGTGTTTAACCTGGAGAAAAGGAGGCTCAGGGGAGACCTTATCACCCTCTACAACTCCCTGACAGGAGGTTGTAGTGAGGTGGGAGTCAGTCTCTTCTCCCAGGTACTGAGTGATAGGACAAGAGGAAATGGCCTCAGGGAAGGTTTAGATTGTATATTAGGAAAAATTGCTTCATGAAAACGGTTGTCAAGCATTGGAAGAGGCTGCTCAGGGAAGTGGAGGAGTTGCCATCACTGGAGTTAAGTCATGAAGATGTGGCACTTGGGGACGTGGTTTAGTGGTGGACTTGGCAGTGCTGTGTTAATGGTTAGAATCGATGACCTTAGAAATCTTTTCCAATCCCAATGATTCTGTCATTCTGTGATTCTATGATTTTACCATGACAACTACCTTAGAACTTACTCAGGAATTTGGTTCTGATAATATGGTTGCTTTTCTCTAGTTTTTTATTTGAACAGATGGGTTCATTGCCTTGAGAAGTCACTGAAATACAGGGGCTTAGAAAAAGTAGAGTTGACTTTTCTCTGAGAAATAATTATGAAAGACAATTATGAAAACACAAACCTGCTTCTGTACTGTGATACATAACTCCAATTAGCAGTTTATTAGGGTATGCTGTTTCTGATTGGACTCTGAAACCTTTTCTCATTATAAACCAATATAGAACTCTTCAAGAGTGTGTATTAAAAAAACTAATGATGTTTGCAGAGAGATGAAAGTGCACTGGATGAAAGGAAGACTGACCTCACTAGCCTGTTGTTGTAACTAAAGCATTTTCTGTTGTGAACAGAGAATGATTCTTGTATGAAAGAATCATTACATAATTAATCTTTCTAGAAAGGTGACAGCTGTGGAAGAATCTCTTTTAAAGCAGCAAAAACTCTTTAACAACCTCACCCTTCCACATATGGTTGTCTAGGATACTTAGCTGATGGAACAGGTGATTAACTCTGGGAAAGTGAGAGATTGATCTGGAGGAAATGGTATAGGTGAAAATTTGGTCTTTTAGCCCTTGTGACTGCTTGACAAAGGATGAAGCAGTATAAACTCATGCTAAAGGTTATTGAGTGTCTTTGAAATACTGAATATTAAAATCTTGAAGCAGTATATATTTGCAGTATATTTTTCGATGAGTTTAGTCTAAAATCTACATAACTAGTTTAATTAAATGGTTTAATTAAAAAATACCTTATTTCTGTCAGGTATTTCATCGATTTGCTAAAAACTTCCATCTGGCTCATGATCCTTATTTTAACACTTTTCCTTTAAACTATTAAATATAAAAACACTCAAGGAGAAAACATTTTCTTGTGACTGTCTGTCAGGACTGGAGATATGCAGGTATCCTCAATTCTGCTTAAGTGAAGCAAGTAGTATTCAAAGACCTCTACCAAAGGCAGTTAAAATATGAGTTGTAGTTGGATATGCTAAAATTTTGGCCATGGTTCACCAGAACTCAGATGTGAAATGTGTCAGAATATGCATATTTTATTTTAACCAGTAAAGTCAAACTTGGGATGTTGTCAGAAATGATTACTCCTGCCTACATATTGATGTCATATTGCATCCCAAATTTCATACCTCTATCATATTTTTTCATACAAGCATGGTCATGTTTTGAGACAAGAAATTGGGCAGCCATGGTCAGCATGGTACTACTCCTGACCTGAGTTCTGGGAGCCAGCAGATGCTAGCTCTGCTTTGGGTAATAGAGTGTTGATGTACCTACATGGCTTCTAATTAGAAGCAGTCTTGCATTAAGCAGGTCGGATGACATGGCAGAATGGGTTTGTGTTTTAAACATTTTATATGGACTTATCTTTGACTTCCTTTTTTTTCTCTTTCCACAAAAACCACAAGCCTGTAACTGAATGTTGGGTTATGCTGCAAGAGTAGATAGTTGCCCTGATTTAGTAGAATGTGGTTAATTGAGTCTGATGTAATATCCCTTGGTATGCAGCATTTTGGATTCACAGAATCAAACCTCTGTTTGCCTGTGTTTATCCCAGTGTCAGAGCCTACTTGAAAAGTTTGCTGTCTGTGCAAACCGTTCATAGCAATGCAGAACTTACAATATATGCTTAGTGTACTAATCTTGAATTGTTTTTCACTTTTTAGTTCAGCGCACACTTCTGGAGAACTAAATTCAAGAAAACAGGATGAAGAACAGATCTTTGAAACTGGATACAGAGCCTGCATTCTGCCTGAAAAAAAAAAGCCAACAAAGAAAGGAAACAAAAAAAGCATAACACAAACAGCAGAGTCTGAAGTTGCATGAGAAAACAGTTCTTGTTTGAAACACCTCTGGGAGTGTGACTTAGACCTGAGTACTTTGGTATGGTTAGTCCTGTGAAGCATTGTTGCACACTGATATGTGGCCTTAATGACAGGAGTGTAGAAGTATGTTGTGCCTTTACATTCTTGCCTTTACTCCTCTGACAAGTGGGAGTGTCTCAAGTGCATCCAGTATGTTTAACTTTTCCTTACCTCTTCAAAACAATAAGCAGTCAAGGTTTAGTTATGTCATTGCTTTCAGGCAGTGCAAACGTTTTTTTAAATATCCTTTACACAGTAAGTGTGCCAACCAGCCACGTTGGTGTATGTTGTGGGCACCTGAATGGCTCACTATGTATGGGTAATGGGTCTGGGTGTGGGTGCTGCTGCTGATCCAATCTGTGTAGCTGCCTGGGTCAGCCACCAAGGAAGAGATACTTGTTCTTGAGCATTCAAGAGAAAAAAAAGCCTGTTTTGGTTTTGCTTTTTTTTTGTTCATTGCATCTGTCTGGTACAGATTGAGAAAACCTAAACTTGTTGCACACAGACCCCTCATCCTTTCTGGCTCTTCTTGCTTACCAAGTACTGAGCTGGTCAGTTGTGGAGAAGCCTGATTTGCAAATCAGAACCATAATTGGATTTCTTACATCTGGTGAGATGGGTTTAGTTGACATGGTGATGTTATGTCATAGGTTGGATTCAGTGCTCTCAGAGGTTTTTTCCAACCGTAGTGATTCTGTGATTGATGTTTGGCATTGTCTGAACAAGTTGTGAATGAAGTATTGAGGAGTCGGGATGAACATCTTCAGGCTTCCGTAACCGAAAGCTTGACAGAAAATAGCATTGAATTCAGAAGGTTTATCATATGCACATAAAGGACAGCAACAGTACTACAGTTCCAAAGTACAGCAAGACTGAGCAGAGCAGCCCAGCCTGCTCCACAGGCATCCATCAAACAGAGTAATTAGCGTGCAAAGTGCTTTTGGATTTGTGAAGGATTGCCCTCAGGATGACATCCTACGATTGCATCCTCATCTGAAAGCACTTGTGTGCTGTGCTGTGGCTCTTGGAAGTGTCAGGAAGGTTTCAAGGATCTGTGGAAACATGAAAAACTGCAACTCATAACAGCTGAAGGACTAAATCTGGAATAATAACTAGTTCTGTCTGGAAGGAATAGTCTGACCAGTTTTGTTGGTTTTCATTCTAATTGTTTCAAATTTTCTTGCAATTTTACAATATGTGTCTTACTAATGTGCTTCAGCCACCTGACAAAGTTCTACAGGAACATGGCATTTCATGGAACATCTTAGAAGTCATTATGAATTTGGATATTAAACCTGTAAATATATCTGTGCATTCAAATATGAATGTATGCCAAGGATAATTCATTTAAGAATTTCTTGTACATGTTTCTTAGCTTGCAACAAAGCTTTACACAGATTGTCATATTTTGTTACGGAATTAATTTGTAAGTCTCTTTTTGCCTCACTCCTGCTTTTAGTATAAAATTGCTAAAACCTTTAAGTGTGTTTGAGGGTGCAAAACTGATTTTTATATAAACATTTGATCTATGTAAATACAAAGGGAGGAAATGTACTGCTAACCTGTGTGAATAAACAGGTATCTCATATCAATGCCAAGTGTAGAGAAAACATAAATAAGTCAGTGTTTGTTAAGGATAGAATGGCAGGGGAAGCTCAAAACTAATTTTTAGCTAACCAGACTCTTGGATCTTTTTTCAGCTTTTGCAAGCCTAAAAATTACTTCTTAAAACTTCCTATCAACATTGTGATTTTTCTAAAAATAAATTTAAAAAAAATGTTTGTGTTTTTCTTCTTCATAGTTCTAAAAACATTAAACTTTTGGTGCTTGACTAAAGAAGGACACTTCAAATAGTTTGCCTTCCTGATGTGTCTGATGACATCCATCAGCAGTTCAGGTTTACTTCCTGTAGACATTTTAATCATTTTAGAAGAAAGCTGGCCAGTAACAACAGAGCTTTGAGCTACTTTCACAGGTTGCTTACCAGTGCAAAGTGCAGAGAAGACATCTGTCTGAAGGGCAGGCATGGGTTTTGAAAGAGATTTCGTAGCACAGAATCTACTGAAAATCTGCACAACAATAGAAGGTTTAGTATCCATCTATCTATCATCACATCCTTCAGGAGTAGACACTTTTGCAGGGCCATGTGTTGTCTCACCTTCTGATGTGAGGAGACCATAACTGAATGAGATAGCACTGCGAGGGTTGCCAAGTGCCTAAATAACTACAAGTTTACTGATGTATTTTCTTTTCAGTCTTAAC